CGAAACGAAATCAAAACGAAACCTGCCGAAACGAAACTTTCAGAATGTTTATATGGTCTATTTTTACTTCATATGAAATTTATATAGTTCAAGCACCACAGGCAATTGTTTCGCTTCAAGCTCATACATAGGCGTCGGAAGGAAATTGAAAGTGGGGGGGGGGGGCTTAACCAAAAAAAAAACCCCCAATTTTCAATGCCTATATAATATATATCTTTGCAAAAAAACTTATCCGACGCCTTTGTCATATTTTTTAAATATCTTACTAAATGATTTACCTACTTAAAAAATGACATTGTTCGCTTCGAGAGATTTGTCAGTTAAATCGTTTTAGACGTTTCTGGTTTATTGCAAACCACTCATTTCTTTCGAAAATTACCTCGATAAAAATAGGACCTTATGTACATAGAAATGATACACATCCTTTACTTGTATAATTGAACAATAAAACCAGACACCTTGGAATACTAAATACTCTAAGTCTCTGGTTTATCCTATGTTTTAAGACATTTGCAATACAACAGTACAGTCATGAGTGACTTTATACATAAATAAGCCTAGCTTTTACATCTTACACATCAATTTTTTATGTTGTATCTAGATAAATCTGAAGAGTAAGAAAAAATACTGCACTGTGTACATGCATAGTACGCTCGTGCATTTTCAGCTGGCAAACATATTTTAGACTCACATAATTTATCGGTAATTAAATTTTATATTATCAAGTGCATGAATATAAAAATTCCATTTGAAGTAAAAAAAAGTCCACATGCAGTTAACATATATAATTATATGCATGTACCTTGATTTGAAAAAAAAAAAAAAAAACATGTTGATAGTTTTGTTTCGTTTCGTTTCGGCAGGTTTCGTTTTGATTTCGTTTCGTTTCGTCTTGATTTCGTTTCGTTTCGGTAGGTTTCGTTTCGTTTCGGCAATTTCGTTTCGTTTCAGTTCGTTTCGTTTCGTTTCATTTCGTTTCGCACTTTACAGGTACCCGAAAAAAAAAACTGTTTAAGATATTTTCATCAAACTTTATACACAAATACAAAATAATTTTAGTTTAGGCTCAAGTGAGCTTTTCTGATCATATTTTGTCCGGCGTCCGTCTGTCTGTCTAGCTGTCTGTAAACTTTTCACATTTTCGACTTCTTCTCAAGAACCACTGGGCCATTTCAACCAAACTTGCCACAAAGCATCCTTGGGTGAAGGGGATTCAAGTTTTTTCAAATGAAGGGCCATGCCCTCATTCAAGGGGAGATAATTGGGAATTAATGAAAATTTGGTGGCATGTTTTAAAAATCTTCTTCTCAAGAACCACTATGCCAGGAAAGATGAAACTTATGGGTTAACATCCTCAGGTAGTGAATATTCAAATGTGTTCAAATCATGACCCCCGGGTTAAGGGCAGGGCCAAAATGGCCGACTAAAGTTTTATATAGAAATATATTGAAAAATTCTTTAAAAATCTTCTTCTCAAGAACCACTGTGCCAGGAAAGATGAAACTTATGGAGTAACATCCTCAGATAGTGTAGATTCAAGTTTGTTCAAATCATGACCCCCGGGGGTAGGGCAGGGCCAAAATGGCTGATCAAAGTTTTACATAGAAATATATAGGAAAATTCTTTAAAAATCTTCTTCTCAAGAATGACAAAGCCATAATTCATCAAATTTATATGGAAGCATCCTCAGGTAGTGAAGATTCAAGTTTGTTCAAATCATGACCCTGGGGGTAGGGCGGGGCCAAAAAGGCCGACCAAAGTTTTACATAGAAATTTATGGGAAAATTCTTTAAAAATCTTCTTCTCAAGAATGACAAATCCATAATTCATCATATTTATATGGAAGCATCTTCAGGTAGTGTAGATTCAAAAATTTGTACAAATCATGACCCCAGGGGGTAGGGTGGGGCCAAAATGGCCGACCAAAGTTTTACATAGAAATATATGGAAAATTCTTTGAAGAAAAGCAAATCCATGATTGATCATGGGATTACTTTTGGATTTTAACTTTTCAATTATAAACCAATTTCTACTTTTTCTTAGCTTCAGTACTCAGGTGAGCGATGTGGCCCATGGGCCTCTTGTTTAATGTACCATTAGTAATACACATCTGGCGGAACATTCATGTCCTATAGACATATTTCTAGTTTTTCAAATCATCACCTCAGGCTAGGGTCAGGCCACAATTAGGGATCAAAGTTTTATTTAGGAATAAAAGGAAACACATCTTTAAAGTTCTTCTTTTCAGGAACACCAAGAGCATGATTAATATGGAAATATTCTCAAGAGGTGTAGATTCAAGTTTGTACAAATCATGACCACCAGGGTTAGGGAGGTGCCATATTATTCCAGCCTCTTTTTGCCATCCATATGAAAATTCAAATTTTGAAACCATTTTACACATACACAAAACAAACCAATCATTTTCTAAATGATCATGGTTTAAAGCTATTGCAGCATAAGATATTAGGGAAGTTCTTGAAAGCAGGGTGATTAAACATGTCAAATATATGTAAAAAAAAATATATATAAAAATTCTACCTCGATTTGATCCCCATCCCCCACCCCCCGGGCAAAATGAAAATTCCGAAACCTTACTGCACATCTACATGACACCACCAACCATCTCTTAAAATATGATAAGGCTGCTGAGTAAAATGTAGAAGGAGTTCAGGGAAGAAGGGGCTTTTTGTATAAAAAAACGTCATTTTTCGACCCCCATTTGATCCCCCGGGGCAAAATCAAAATTCCGAAACCTTACTGCACATCTACATGACACCACCAACCATCTCTCAAAAGATGATTAGGCTGCTGAGTAAAATATAGAAGGAGTTCAGAGAAGAAGGGGCTTTTTGTATAAAAAACATCATTTTTCGACCCCCATTTGATCCCCCGGGGTAAAATCAAAATTCCGAAACCTTACTGCACATCTACATGACACCACCAACCATCTCTCAAAAGATGATTAGGCTGCTGAGTAAAATGTAGAAGGAGTTCAGGGAAGAAGGGGCTTTTTGTATAAAAAACGTCATTTTTCGACCCCCATTTGATCCCCCGGGGCAAAATCAAAATTCCGAAACCTTACTGCACATCTACATGACACCACCAACCATCTCTCAAAAGATGATTAGGCTGCTGAGTAAAATGTAGAAGGAGTTCAGGGAAGAAGGGGCTTTTTGTATAAAAAACGTCATTTTTCGACCCCCATTTGATCCCCCGGGGCAAAATCAAAATTCCGAAATCTTACTGCACATCTACATGACACCACCAACCATCTCTCAAAAGATGATTAGGCTGCTGAGTAAAATGTAGAAGGAGTTCAGGGAAGAAGGGGCTTTTTGTATAAAAAACATCTTTTTTCGACCCCCATTTGATCCCCCGGGGCAAAATCAAAATTCCGAAACCTTACTGCACATCTACATGACACCACCAACCATCTCTCAAAAGATGATTAGGCTGCTGAGTAAAATGTAGAAGGAGTTCAGGGAAGAAGGGGCTTTTTGTATAAAAAACGTCATTTTTCGACCCCCATTTGATCCCCCGGGGCAAAATCAAAATTCCGAAATCTTACTGCACATCTACATGACACCACCAACCATCTCTCAAAAGATGATTAGGCTGCTGAGTAAAATGTAGAAGGAGTTCAGGGAAGAAGGGGCTTTTTGTATAAAAAACGTCATTTTTCGACCCCCATTTGATCCCCCGGGGCAAAATCAAAATTCCGAAACCTTACTGCACATCTACATGACACCCCCAACCATATCCCAAAGGATGATTAAGCTACTGTGAAAAATGTAGGAGGAGTTCAGGGAAGAAGGGGCTTTTTGTATAAAAAACGTCATTTTTCGACCCCCATTTGATCCCCCGGGGCAAAATCAAAATTCCGAAACCTTACTGCACATCTACATGACACCCCCAACCATCTCCCAAAGGATGATTAAGCTACTGTGAAAAATGTAGGAGGAGTTCAGGGAAGAAAGTGTGACAGACGGACGGACGGACGGACGGACGGACGGACGGACGGACATGAGTAACAACAATATACCCGAACTTTCTTTCGAAAGTGCGGGTACATGCAGATAAATAATAAAAATAGAAAAAAAACTTAATTGCGTTAATAAGAAAGTGGTTCCATGAAGGCTAGAGGGTATTTCCGTTCGACTATTACGAGATAAAATCTCCTATTGTCGAGTGCTAATATGAGACGTTAGGCTGGAAGAGGGACAGACAACTGAGAGTAATAATTAGGACAGGTGTTTGAGATCTCTAAATACTAGTCCTAGGTAGAATTGTGAATAACTCTAAATATAGTTATTTTACATACATCAATCGAAAATGCACAAAAACTTGAATATGAAGAAATTGCATTTAGCGTTATGATAAAGTTATTTTAAAAACGCTAAAGAACTGTTTTCCAAAGATAAAAGTTTCTATAATTTTTTTTTCAAACCACCATTTAAAATTCCTTTTCACCTATAGATTTGTCTCTGAATAGCCGTTGTTTTCCAGCTTTTCACAATGAAAATATGAGATGAAAAGTGGTTACATAAACTGATATTAATTCATTAAAGATTCATCAATGAGAGAAAGTCAAACTTAATGTCATATGATATCTGTGTTGTATGTCATAGATTTCAGGACATTATTTATTAAACAGCCCTCGTAAATAATGGGAGATTTTTTAAAGAGATAAGAGACATAGTTCACTTGAGAACAAAAGTCCATAAAACAAAACAAAATAGGAGGAGAGCAAACACGGACCTCCAAATCATCATTACCTTTAAAACAAACCAATACTAAACATGTGCATCAAACACACATTCCCACATACAACAGTTCATTTCATTTTGATACGTTTCATAAAAACAATCTAATTAAATATTTCACAATCGATTGTTTATTCTCAGGTATTTTTATTTTTATTAATATTTTTTTAAGAATCATGACGCAGAGACAAACAGCACATGTTAGTTCCCGACCTTCTACGTAGGGCGGACAGTTCAGCGACCCACATCGAGACTCCACTGGATAGAAGAGGTAGCCATTATGGTTGCATGGCCCCCAGCAACAGTATCAGGATGTTTGTCAATACAAGTATACATTGTACCAGCCTTAAATCCATGATACCCTGACATAAGGTAACCTTTGTACTCTAACCTCCAACCTCTGTAGCAGGATTTTCTTGCTAAGGAAAGTATCTACTATTATTATTAAAATTACAGTTTTTAAAGTATGTGATTCATGCTTTATATGTATTTTTGTATTTTTTTCTTTACTTCATAACACCCCTTTTCATCAGATTATCAGATTACTATTACATGGACTATCTATGGCAATTTTTAAAAGACAGTTATTCAAAGATAGAAATCAAATACCTGGAAAAACTGCTGTTGTTGGTTTATCTTTCAGAAGACAAACAGCACATTGTACATTGTGATTGTAAAGTTTAGCAAAATGTCCATCATGCGTTTCATATTCAGAGCCATACACATACCCTCTCCAAGTTTCAACTTTATCCTTATATCTCTCCCACTCAGGATTTCTTGGCAAACAAAAGGGGTCTACTGCTGTTCCTGGATCGGTATAGTGTGAACCACCTACATAACCTGTGGAAATAAAGCTCTTTTAAGATAATGTCGCTTTGTTGGGAATTAAACGTCGGTGTTTTTGGCAGTTTATTCTTGAGAATTTAATTCGCGTAGCTTATTTTCATTACCTGGTACATATAAATAATTTCTTGTCTCCAAACAATCGCTGTACCTTTAGTATTCTCATTGTTACAGCATTTTTATTTCAAAAGTTTAGATAAAAATCAAATAAGACGTTCTTGAGAAGTTGAAAATGTTTAAAAAAAAACAGAAGGCAAAGGTCTAAGAAACTCTGGAAATAAATAAACATCCCATCCATCAAACGTTAGCTCATCCCCACTCTAAAAAATAACATATCGCTTTTATACATACCTGAATGGACATTATTATTTAATATTCTACTGTACGGAAGCCCCTTGAGGCCAGTTCTGAGAGAGAAATATTTTTTATGAGAGAGATATCTCTTTTACTTAGAGAGATATCTTTATAAGCTAGAGAGATATCTCTTTTAGTAAGAGAGATATCTTTATAAGCTAGAGAGATATCTCTATAAGCGAGAGAGATATCTCTTAAAGTTAGAGAGATATCTCTTTAACAAGGTTAAAAGAGATATCTTCTTTGTTGGAGAGATATCTCTTTAGATGTTCAAAAGGAGATATCTTTATAAGCTAAAGAGATATCTTTTTTAATGAAAGAGATATCTCTTTTCCAGTGATGCTTAAAATAGAATAATTAATTCTCCCTTTTAAAGCGAAAGTGAAACAGGAAGTAAAGTCTCTGGAGAATAATACATATACTGAAGAAAAAAAATTCTATAAAGCCTTTACTTGAAGCAACAAATAATAATGGTAACTTCGTTGATAAAGATGCTAAAAGTTTAATATTCTGGAAAACGAAAGTAAGCATATATATAATCTCAAATGCAATGGGCTGAATTTTCTCAGTTTATGAAATAATCAACTATTTCTAATTTGATCCGTCAATAAAAAGCTTACTTCCGGTAAGGAAAAAGTCATTTGAAATGGAATTTAAATACAAAAATATGAAGAGAGATGTCTCTTTGAAACAAAGAGATATCTCTTTTTGCTTGAGAGATATCTCTTTTATATAGACACTTTTGAAAGATATCTCTTTCACTTTCAGAGATATCTCTTAAGATAAACTGAGAAAGATATCTCTTTTACTTAAAGAGATATCTCTTTGACTTGGAGAGTTATCTCCAAAAGTAAAAGAGATATCTCTCTAGGTGAAAGAGATATTTTTATGTTTAG